ATATGTTCTGTTCTTTGCTCAAGAGGTACAAAATAGGGTGAATTTCATGGCTTCATGTTAACTTGAATGGTTTGGATGAGGGTTTTTTTCTATTGAACATCTGCTTCCTATTGTTATACTGTGTTGGAGCAATCCAAAGTGAATTGCTTCATCAGGCATTCAAATTGAAAAACAGCAAGTGTTGTGTTTACCAGACATTTGACAGGCAGTTCAATGCACTTTTTATGAATATTTGCTGAAAATATACTCACCCTCAGACCATCCAATATGTAGATGAGTTTGTTTCTTCATCAGAACAGATTTGGGAGAAATGTAGCATTTCATCACTTGCTCACCAATGGGTCCTCTGCAGTGAATGGGTGCCGTCAGAATGAGAGTCCAAACAGCTGATTAAAACATCACAATAATCCACACCACTCCAATCCAACAACTGATGTCTTGTGACGCAAATAGCTGCATGTTTGTAAGAAACAAATCCATCAAAACTTTTTTTAACTTCAATCCATTGCTTCTGGCTAAAATATGAATCATATCCATACTATCACTTTCTCCTTTGAAAAACTCATTTTGTCTGAATCAGGAGCGAAATATGCACAGAAAAAGCACAGTTTGCAAGCAAAAACTGGAGGATACACCACTATGGATTATAGACTAGTATTTTGACCAGAAGTGAGGATTTAAAGTTAAAACGCCTTTCTCCAGATCTGTTCTGATGAAGAAACAAACTCATCTTGGATGGCCTGATGGTGAGGAACTTTTCAGCAATTTTTCATTTTTGGGTGAAGTATTCCTTCAACTAGAACATCATTTAAAACCCTTTAAACAAATGGACTATTTGAGAATTCTCAAAAGTTATGGTCAATATGTGCATTAATTTGAAATGTATTCTATTGTTTGTTTGATCTTTCATATTTCCCTGCAGTCTTATGTGGTCAGTAAGCCAGTCAAATTAAATGGATCTCTCGATGGTTTGGTACTCGGGGAAGTACGTGTTTTTGGGGTTCAGGCTTCACCTACAGCCGTGTGGGCCAATGGCCAAAAGGTTCATGACTTCTCTTACAGCCCAGACACCAAGGTATGCAACAAGTGCTTGTGTTTCATATTGATCTTTAAAATGTGTTGATCTTAAAAAGCTGTCATGAAGTAGTGAGTTTGTGTGTGTGTGTGTTGCAGGTTCTGACAGTGCCAGGTCTGGACT